TTTTAAAAATTCTATTAGCTTTCAAATAGAGTTTTGTGTACGCATGTAAAACGACTTGTAGAATATAATCATGCACATAATTGTTACAATGGTTTGCTTTTCACCCAATTAAGTATTGCATTTTTTATCGCAACCTTTAAAACATAAGCAAACCATCCATTTTGATACTGGAAATGTATTCTATTCGGCAATAAATCAACAGACTACTAAATTTTCGCCTTTGGCTTCATACTTAAAATAATAGGCATGCGCGAATCATAGATTTTGTGCTTAAACTGAATGGTGATATGAGCTTATTAACTTTTCAGTTGACTATCACATAGCTTCTGCACCTCTCTCTATGCTCGTGAATTCCGGGTCCGTTTACAGCAAGTTATCCAGCAGCCGCAGGTTACCGTTATAGGGCCTCCGAGATTGCTCTTCTCTTGACCTAGACAGCTCGTTTTATATTTTGTCAGAACACTTTTTGTCTGTCACGAATTCTAGGGTTCAAACTCAACAATGTCTCATAGATAACTGTAGAAATATATTATGAGAAACACCTTTTTATGTGCACCCCGCTCCACCGTTGATAACCACAGCCGTCAACGTCGCCAGGCTCGACGCGCTGCGTGCTAAATTTGCGCTGCTCCGGTTGGTGTTCGACGGGGGAGTTCATATGGCCAGTGACTAGACGTAAAATGTAGCTCGTGAAAGTTAATTTCTACAGCTACATAAGAGACATTATGTTCGCTGTTTTCTGTAACATTCATCTTTGGGTTTTTCAGAGTAGAAGAGGCAAAAAATTAACATTGACCAAGGGACAAATATTAGCATGTATTGTTATGGTCAGTCGGCGGCCCTACACGGTTCATAATGCAGATTCACGTGGTGAGAAGGGTGCGTCCGTGGCAGACATAGATTGTAGCATCTGAGCTCGACACCTTCTGCCTGTGTTTGTCCTTTTTTTTAAACTTGCCTTCCCTTGGCTATGTTCGCTGATACCGTAAAGAACCCATTACCGCACCCAATGAACGCTGGCGACCAATGACACCACCTGGCAAAGTGTGTCTACCCAAACGTCTTTGCTTTTTGACTTCTGACTCTTTTGGACACATTGTTTCTCAGCTGTGCATCCTCTTACCCAAACAGTAACCTCAAATGTACACAGGAAGGCTGCTGTCTGCAGATAGAAAAGCCGGCCGCTGTAAAAGCGAAATGTGAGAGCAAAGGAAAAAAACACTCTCATTGCGAAAACGAACCAGTGGTACGCCGGATTTTTGGCGTGGCTTCTATTTTGTTTTTACCTCCAAACCTGTCAGTTCATTTCCAACAATAAATGTAACAAGATACATAAGTCTAGCAGCGTATCATAATACATCGCAGAAGTATTTCACTACCGAAACACAGATAGATTTTGGAAATGCATCTTGATACAGAAATAAAGATACTCAAAAGTGTCGATTTTATAGCAATACTTTCATGTCGTGATGTTGCCCCGATTGTAATTCCTCATTCATTTTACATTGCTGCAGACGCCGGTTACTTGTTTAAACATAAGCACTGTATGTCTGTGTGGAGGCTGATGCTCATGGCCTTGATGGCAGCGAATAGCAGTTGACGAGAGCAAACATGTTTCGGACATCTACATTAAAATATATTGTGCTTTATCCTTTTACCTAACGCAGAGCGAGAACATCCCACCGACACCATGTGTCCTCTACACCAAGCAGGAGCTGGACCATGCAGTCTTTCTTCACCTTGTGGTGGATCGTGAGCGCTTGTTCCCCGTTTTTAATGCAGAAGAGGGGCTGTGCATGTTGCTGGCAGCATATTGGCTGCTCAACATCCAGTACGAACGCAAGTCCTCCAATACGCTGGTTGCTGTGGGGAGACTTTTCCTTGGCTTGAGCGACACAACTCCAAGGACAGTCGTGATCAAAAATTTGAACAAAGTTGGCAGACAGGTATGGGGTCGAAGAGATGTTTTTTGAGCCGTTTTAAAAGTTTATAATGCACTTTTCTCGCCAGTATTATCAGGTTCATTTTTAGTTTGCTTCTAGAACGAATGATAGAAGGTTTTATGGAGGCATGTTTTATTTTTCTTTCTTTAAATGTTGAGCACTTTCTGTGATAACTTAGGCTTACCTCCTAAATGCGAGGCATGCTTAGAATTTAGCTGTACGAGTTCCTCATCCAAAGTCGTCGTCCAGAACCTTATAATTTTCTTTGTACGTGAGCAAGAGGATAGCGTCTTCTACCGAAACATTTGCTTTTTTGCCGTAGAGTGCAAGTTCATTATGTGATATTTTTCATTACATATTTGCAGATAGCATTCTTTATGTCATGGAATGGCATACATTGTATTTTTTATTTGTCTCTTAGGGTTCAATAAATGTTCAATTTAACGCATTCTAATTGATGTCGTAATGAGCTTCCCTTACTTAATTACTGCTGTGGTTCAGTCAAGGGCTACACCACCACCCTCTACCCTGTTTCCATTTAGTAATCAGATGCGCATAAAGAGACAAGTGATAAGTGAAGCGTGTTGCCTGAAATTCTCTGAAACAAACAAAACATGTCACTTGATTTCCTAACAGGAAAGCTCCCCTTGCCTCGCTTATGGCAACCCATGATGCTTACAATGGTTCAACCGTGCAGTGCGATGCTTGGGGCCACTGCTTGCTCGCTTAGAGTTCGAGAAAGGGGGGCGCCGTAGCACTTCCCAATTGTCCGCGGGGTTATGATCTGGCTTACAAGGAGCTGTTTTGTATTACTTCATAAGTTGCGTTCAGTGTGACTCATTATTTCTTTAACGCGTGCCTCATATGTGGTGGTGTGGCTACGTTCCTAAGTGAAAGAAAGTGTAAATGTGTTCAGTTAAACATGATAAGCTGTAAATCATATTGTAATATTAATATAAGAATATGCAATACCATATAATATTTTTGTATAATTTACACATTCTTATATGTGTATTGGACACCTTTCTATAATATTTTCACGGTGGCCTATTTCTTATTTTACCTTTCGTCCGAGCGTGGTGGACACTACCAGCCAATCCAGCGTCTAGAGAGCGTCATATGACCTTCAACTCCACATAACCAAAACTTCTCGTGACACTCTCCCGGCGCCGGATTGGCTGGGGTGGCCCAGCATAAACTGGGCCACCCCAGCGGGCGCCCATTGTGATGATGTGGGAGAACCAACGATGAGGAAAACGACGTGCGTGAAAACTGTGAGTTGGACTGAGCAACACTGTGAACTGAGCAAAGGACGATGAAGAAGGTGCGGTGAACGTGGGGAAGATGGAAATGGTAAAAGAAAAAGAAGTTCAAGGCAAGAGTTGGATATACGGAAAAACCGAAGACGACGACGAGAAGGGAAGAGGGGACACAATCTCGTGACTCATAAGAGAAGGGCGGGCACGACACTGAACCCGGCTCGACAGCGGTGGTCTCGGCAGCCAAGGAGGAGCCCGGACGGACGAGTCCAGGCCCGTGGGGCTTTCACCCAAGCTCGCTGAGAAGCCTGCGCCTGTGCCTAGCAAGGAGCTGAACATTCCCTGGACAAGATGAACGCCATGCCTACGTCGACGTGCACCACCGGGCCGTAAGCGGATGCGGCGAACTGAACTCTGTGTATATAGCCACACCATTGTTTTCTAACTTCATGCTTATACGACTGTAAATAATATCTACCTTTTTATATTCACCGCACTGGAATTTCGAGTCCTTTTAATTATTATTTTTTTCCATCACACCCATCCATGCCAAGCACCCTTTCCTAAGGGTGTTATCAAGCACCCATTATGAAGGATACTTGCGTGAACAGTATGAGGGTGTTAGCCCTGGTACAAACTGATTTACACCCTTAAGTGTGTAAAAACTTTTACTGTGTACCGAAGGCTTCGCTTTCCCGTAAGTGCCAGTAAGCTTGTGTAACGTGAAAAATATTGTAACTGAATATCGTTGCACTGTCCCTTCACCTAAAGTTATTTTTTTCTTTTTCTTTTTTACTGCTGCATTACCGGGGGATCTTAATGGTGGGACCACGAACGACTGAAATGTGGTCGCAACCAGTGTCGTGAGACGTAGTACTCAAAACGTCCAATAAATATCGAGCGACCTTGCAGCAGCTTCGCTTGTCATTAATATGTAAAAGTTTTTGGGGTTGAGTTCTCAAACTTGAGCGCCCGAAATTGTTGACAATCGTACGATTGTCAACAATTTGGTGTTCCTCAGACGTCTGAGGAACACCAACATTTCCTGGCAGTCTGTGATAAATTATATATGAAGTGTATAACTACAGCCACTTTTTGCCAGTGACTGCCCGAACGTCAATGGCCAGGGGCTGGTCAAGCGTGAGTGGCCACTGGCTGGCCAAAAGTGATTGGCCAGTGGCTGGCCAAAATCGAATGGCCAGTGGCTGGTCAAAAGTGACTGGCCAGAGGTGAATGGCCAGTGACTGGTCAAAGGTGAATGGCCAGTCACTGGCCAAAAATGAATGGCCAGTCACTGGCCAAAGGTGAATGGCCAGTCACTGGCCAAAGGTGAATGGCCAGTCACTGGCCAAACATGATTGGCCAGTCACTGGCCTAAAGTGAATGGCCAGCGACTGGCATAAAGTGAATGGCAAGTCACCAGACGAGGACGAAAACACTTCTATTGCCGAGCGCTTTGGCCAAGCTTGGGCCATCGAAAATCTGGTTGGCCATAGTACACCTGCCAGCGATGGCCCATTCGCAACGTGCTGCTTGGGGTACCATTAAATGGTCCAATACGGTTAAAACCTGACAAAATAATTGGCACTGAAAGAGGCGAGCGTCACGGCAGAATGGCTTGGTATAACTACGTAGGTAACCCCATGCTCCCCGTCCCTCCCCTGTTCATATATTTTGTGCTAAAAAAAAAAAAAAAAAAGAGCAATCCTGCGTTGCAGTTTGATTCTGACTGTACTTCCTGTCAAGTGGTCGTGCAAGTGGTCTGCAGCTGTTTTTTGCCGCGACGACTGACGTTACAGCCCATCAGATTCGGGGAGCAATGGAAACGATGTACGTGGAGCCTGCTAAATTTCCTGCAATCTAATGGTTCTTGGTGGCCGTTGAAATCGAGCTTCATTTGCTGCCGTTCAAAGTACGTGCCACAGACTGCAACAATTAAGTTTTGATAATCGGGTAAGTGCGCCAATTTCGCTATATAGCATCAGGGTCGTTTTGGCCGATGGGCTTGGCTTCACGCCTGTTAAGGCCAGCCGACTTTGCTATGACATAAAATGTTGTGTTGTCTTATTAAGAGGCGGCCATGAATTTTCATGCATGTAAAAGAGCTTCTTTTACTTTCATGTAAAAGAGCGCGTGTAAAAGAGCGAAGACTTGTTAAATAATTTATTTTTAAGTCAACCTGTTCATGGCTAGGATTCCGTGCATTTTTCGTGTGCGTCAACAAAAAGTAAGGTCCCGAATTCGATGCACAATCGCTTCATTCTATGCAAACGATTATACGTCTCATCAATTGGATAGGCATTTTCAGTAGATTAGTTATCAATAGGCATATTTTCGAGATAAGTAGACTCTCGGGGAGATAATAAAGGTTCCTCAAATATTTACCGCTATTCAACCCGCGCCGGCGATGTCTGCGCTCGTGCCGCCCTCTCTTTGTCGCCGTTCCAAGCGCTTGCGTGCCTAATTTCCTTTCCTTCCGCTGTCCCAGGTTGCATTCCCGTCGCGCGTGTCTAGTTTCCTCCGGCTTTTTGGGACGGCGATAGTTCGTACCTCTGCTCAAAATTCTGTGTCACATTTGTGTCCTGTCGAGTGCTAAGAAGCTTCGTTACTCATCCACATTCACGGAGTGGTATAGCCCATGATTTTTTAATACATAAATACCCTGCAAAAAATCTCCATCTTTTATTCTTCGCAGGAGGCTTGTCAAACTACCCAAGCGTCAGAAGAACATACTAGAGCTGAGCAAGGTCGACTAACATTTGTGGAAACCGAAAGTCCGTCATGGCTGTTGAAGTGAAGGTTCCGAACTGCCCAACCTACGTTTACATGGATGGCGTTCGAGTCACGAACGGCTACGAATTAGACTTGTTCCGAGGAGCGTTGAAGTACCAACCCGAACCGGACGACAAGTTCGTAGTTTCTTTTCCCAAGACTGGAACCACCTGGATGCAGCAAATAGCTTATCTCCTCTTCCACAAGGGAGTTCCTCCTACAAGCGCGCAGGATTTCCACGACAATGGCCCGTTCCTCGACATACACGGAGTCGAAACGGTCAAGCGGAGGGTCAAGTCGGGGCTCATCAAGACGCACCTGCCTTACGGCATCGCGCCCAAAAGTCCCCTGGCAAAGTATCTTTATATATGCAGGAATCCAAAGGACACATGCATCTCGCTCTTCTATCACACTTGCCGATTTTCTGAGTACGAGTTTCAGGACGGAAAGCTGGAAGACTTTTTCGAAGTGTTCCTACGTGGCGAAACCGATTATGGCGACTACTTTGATCACGTACTTTCCTGGTACGAACACCGCGATGATCCGAACGTTATGTTTATTCATTATGAAGACGTGAAAACCAACCCCGAACTCTGGATACTAAAGATAGCGGAATTCTTGGATGAAAAGTGTCACAGATTACTTATCAACGACAGAACCATCTTGGAGCATGTGTTGGAGTACAGCGGCATACATTTCATGAAGGGATCGGCAGAAAGCATTTTTGAAAACTTGTATCCCGAAGAGGTGGGGCGCTGCAGTACCGATTTTATTCGCAAGGGAATAATTGGAGACTGGAAACATCACTTGACAACTGAAATGAACGCCAGATTGGAAAAAAAAATCTATCAAAAGATGCAAGAAACAGACATCATCACAGTGTGGATAAATCATGGCTTGATGGAATTGTAGCAGTGCAAGAATGCATGAAAGGGCTGGAATCAGGAATATGAACTCCGATTGATGCAGTACCTCCAAACGTTGTGGACAGCTCATGAATGTATTAATCGCCAACTAAATGTTTACCCATACAATACATACATTCTTAGCCCAACATAAAGTTTATCACGGGCATTAACTTTGCCGCTGTCAGGCTCAACGCCAAGATTTTCACAACGTGACTTCTGGTCCTCCATACAGAACAGTGCTGAGCACAACAGAGCTCGTTGACAAAAAGTAACATCGATACATGCGACAGAAACAAATATATTACTTTGGTTACTCTACGGGCGAAATTAAACGCAAGCAAATTTCTAGTAGAGACTACTTTTTGCTTGTATGTACAAAGAGTTTTATAATCCTGATGAAAAATTAGTGCTGTACCTTGTGTTGGGATCGAAGCGCCAACCGGGTTTTTCTCACCGCAAAAATAAACTACGCATCACTGATGGCCAAGTCTCCACCCAAATGTAACTACAACGGTCTGAACCAGACGATAAAGGTTCTGAGATGATCCTTTCCTCATTCAAAACTCAGTATCGATATTCGAAAATTTTCAATACAAAAATTTGTCCTTGCCTTATTTACCTCTATGGATTAGCGGGCTATCTTGGTCATCCTTTCGTTGTTAAAAACCAACAAACTTCTATAATAGCTTTTTGATTGGAGAACGGCAAGTCCTGAAACTGATACATCTGATCCCAAGCGCCTGAGCTCCATTAAAGTGGAGACTGAGCATACGGAGATGCGTAGTTCAGTTTTGCGGTACTGGAAAACACGTTTTTTTTTTGTTTTTTTTTTTTTTTATCTTGAAAACCCAGTAATAATTATTTTGACCTCAGGTGAAATTTGTTTTTTTTAAACATCTTTGTTTCTTTTTATTATCATTTCAATTGATGACAATATGTTTCGTCACTGCTATTTTGACGGCATTAAAAGTTTGTTAAAGGTTTTTTTTTTTGTTGTTAATCAAAGTGTCGTTTACTTCTTACATCAGCCATCACATTTGAAACTATGCAGGAAAAAGCAATAAATATTATGAAATTGCATTATTAAACGCACCACTCCTGGCGTCGCTCAGGCTATAGGAATCTAATCGATTATATCTCCCAAAAGCGTAGTTCATATTCATAATTCTGTAGTAGTTTAAGAATGATAGCAGTAGGACGATAACCCAAATATAATTATCTATTTAGAAACCGCCAATTGTTTCGTGAAATACTGTTGAAAGTTGCACGGACCTAACTAAAACCTGGCTCTGGTAAAATGCTCTTCAGTAATAATCATGGCTGCAGCTACAACAGAGAAAGGTACACATTGATTAAAAAAATAGGCATTCAAAATTCATTTTTCATTTTTTTGGTGTTCCTCCATGTAGAGGTGTATGCAGATGTATTTAGCGGATGTGCATGAGTTAGGGAAAATAGATAAGTCCCTAGGTGTGGGAGATTTACGCATGAATAAATTGACTTAGCATCCATTTGAGATCAAGCGCACCTCGCGCTTTTGAGGCACCTGGTGTTCAACTGAAAAAATCGAGTTGTCAATTTTTCCTGTAGCACACCAGCAGTAGCCTGTAGGGCTGTATGTAGTTTTGGTCCATTTCTAGCGGAAGTCACTTCAATCCATTTCGGTCTAGATGTATCCGTGATTGCATGATAATTGTGTTTTTTTTTTTTTATCGGAAACATTAATTTTATAGGTTGAGTCAAGGAGATCATTTGTTGTCTGATGGTACGTCATGAATCGGTTTCTGGACGTTTCGAACTACAGAGGCAAACAAAAGTTGTTCATGAAGTGTATACAATTTTTACTGAACAACCTTGCTTGAGTAAAGGTTAGTAATGAAAAACTTAAAATCTCTACGTACGGCGGCCGTGTGTGAACCAAAGATACATATTTCATGCCGTAGTCGATAGATATCGGCTTTACTTTCCTCGTTGACAGGTGGGATTCGGCCGTAAAAGCACCGAGCACCGTATTTTTCGGCGGCAGCTTTCTTGATGACACGATGGTTGTCGGTGGCTTGTTTTGGAGGTTTCCCTCCTCGTTGGGGCGCCTCACCTAGCAAAGCAACGGGAGAAGCCCGGAGGTCGTCGCTGAAACTCCGCCCGAACTCGTCGGCAAACCTCCTTCGTACTCTGGCACAGCCCGTACCAGAGCTGAATCTCCACTCGTTCGTTTGTAGCTAAGCGCACCATGAAGATAATTTGTACCCCAAAAGAGCACGGATAACAGTTCCAGTGAAGAAGTGGGACGCGGTAACAAGATAGTCCAAAGCAGACGACGACATGTACCCGAAAACAATTGTCTCAGAAAGTAAGACCACACATCGGTTTTATTTTTGTCACTTCATCGTTGCTTTTTTTTTTTATGATTCATTGGTAGAATATTATAACCATGCACCGATAATTCTAGCAGAAAATTAGCGCGTCACTTCTAATCAGATACGTCGTCTGTTATTTGCGGCTCCAATTCACTATAGGTGGTGCCACTTCATGACTATTCCAGGCTAGAAGGCCTAGAAAAGCCATGATGTCTGCCCTGTGGTTTCCGCAAACCGTACCCTTTTGACGCTCGCACCTTCTCATGCTTTCTGACTCCCCCGCGCCAAACGAACACAAACCTTCTGAACTGGAAGCCCATACCTCGTGACGCTCGCGGTCGCAAATGGTTCCACAGCCAATTACGTAGCTTCTAACCTTAATGCCCGCGCCAACCCAAAACAAACTTCTTGGCAGATGAGACCCTTCCATTGATGCTCGCGGTTGTTGGTGGTTTACAGCGGGGCTCGACGAGTGCAAGCATGCGTGGCGTTCGGTTGTGATCCTGTTTTGCTGGAAACTCGGCGATTATCGACGATTGTCTTTATGACATTGGTGAGCGGAGCCAGGTTGTTGATAGGTGCGCTGTTGGACAGTCACCCACAGCATGATCGCGATGAATTTGCTCGTGTACGTCGACTGGTGCTCGTGTAGGTACGCATCGAAACTGAAGAAAAACACTGAGAGGCGTTTGCTTGTGACCTAACGTCTTACGAATTAACTCCATAGATGTTTTTAATACAGAGCTGAACAAGCGGGTTCCTGAAATATTGCGATTGGGGGGGGGGGGGGGGGATCTTTTTACCATAGAAGAAGCCAACGTATGGTCTGTCACTGGGGCCTGGATGAGTGCATTTCTACACTTCTTCGACGCGCTTTTGTCACTTGCCTAGAATTGCACATAGTCACAGAGCCCTCACATTCGTATTCTCGTCGACGGGGGGGGGGGGGGGGGGGGGGCGTTATACCCTGACGGTGACCGAGGAACGAAACTCGTCGTTTTCTGAGTTCAGTGAGTGTCCCGGATGTGGTGGAATCATTGCCAGTGCAGAATGACGTGTGACCTTAGCTCAGTAATTGTGACCGCCAGCCCGGGGTGGTCATTAACGTGCATCACTAAGTAGCGATTACACAAACGCACTGTTTTACGATACTCATCCATTTTGAAACGGTCAGGGGCGGGCAGGTGGTTCAGGCTCAGAAAAACCTTGAAGCGATCTGGCAAACTACTTCCCCACCCTTTGCACGCTGGTAGAAATCCGAACGAACACCGCCCGAGTGCCGCTGGCATATAGTAAGTTAAGTTTGTAATTGTCCTGGAGGTTTATTTTCCGGGACGGAGGAGTCGCCTCACAAAAAGCAGAAGCCGACACAACTCGAGGTCGAGTAGCGTTCTTCCTTACAAGTTGCGTCGGAAGAGGAAAAACGGAGGGGAAAGGGGGGGGGGGGGGGGGAAGGCTCCAGCCGCCCCCCCCCCCCCCCTCCCCTCCAGGTATTTTGGACCGCTAAAGAAAACAATACAGGGAAAGAGGGCATGGTCGAGCTTATTTTAATCTGGAATTATTTATGCATATGTATAGCTACTGTCGCTCTTTAGTGCATAAAGGATTCCGTAGATGGTCATTCTCGAAAACTCGTTGTCAGAAGGCAGTACTTGTCACATGCTTAGTGGTTCGGAAGTTCACAGCTATGTCTTTTCGACCTAAATAACTGTGCCATTGATAAAAAAAAAAAAATAAACATAACAATAAATGCGGGGATAAAAACCTGGAGGAAAAAAAAAGCTATCAACTTCGAAACAAGTTTCTCCTACCAAAACGTGCACAGGCTAAAAGAAACACGTTTCAGGAACGTGAAACAAAACAAAACAAAAATTCTTTTAATGACGTGTTGAGCTTGAACAATATTAAACATCTGCTCCCATGAGTTAATTTATTCCTTAACGTGAAAAAACAACAAAAAAAAAAACATCATTTTGTATTCTGCAGATGGGAATGATGTGTACTGTCCGTGGTGTTAATATAGATGCGATACATCAAACAACTTAGACGAAAATAAATACCAAGTTTAGGGCATAATTGCCCGTACATACATGTTTGGACAGTTCTTAAAAACTTACCTTGAATAAGACTAATCACATCTTAGAATCACACTTACCTAGGGGATACATAAATCATTCTTTAAAACATTAACATCTCTACCATAGATAGCTGCGGCTATAGCGCGCTTCAAATATTACACAAATGACAATCGTCAAAAACCCGTCGTCCTTCCTCGCCCCTTCGGGAATTTTTTTTTTTTTAAACTAAGCATGCCAGAACATTGAAATAAACGGCATTGTCTTTTGTAAGGAACGTAGCACCGCATGTAAACATTCGAGAAAAAAAAAGTAAGAATGTATCTTACTACATGAATTCAAATGAAACCGTCCACCGGTCTTTCGAAGGTCAACGAATGTCTAACTTTTACCCTAAAAGTTCGAAGTTCGCCGACCTTTTGACTTTTCAGAATTCGTAACTTCGAAAATTTTCGAATTCTCTTGATAAATAAGTTCGAAAATTACCAAATTCCTTAGCGTAGGAAGTTCGAAAGTTCGGAAGGCTTCAAACCTTTTAGTGCAAGGCGTTCGAAAGGTCGAAAATCATCGATTTTTCGGTCTATCAAATTCGAAAGTTCGACAAGCACCGAATTTCGCAGCGTGATAAGTTCAAAAGTTTGAAAAGGATTCAATTTTTTAGCGTAATAAGTTCGACGGTTCGAAAAGCGTCGAACTTCTTGGTTTAACAAGTTCGAAAGTTCGACTTCCGTCGAATTTTACGATACAGAGAGTTCGAGAAATTCGAAGTATGTCGAACCTTTCGACCGCTTGATTCGATCATCAAAACTTCGGTTCGAAAAAGTTCGCGGCATCCCTAGTCATGAGAGTTACCCTCACGAGGGTTACTAGGATTACCCTCACGAGGGTCACGAGGGATTACTCTCACGAGGGTCACGATGGTTACCGTCAAGAGGGTCACGAGGATTATCCTCACGAGGGTCATGAGGGTTACTCCCTGAGGTCACGTGACCTCCCTGAGGTCACGTGCCCCCTGATGGCACGTGACTCCCCTCAGGTCACGGCACCCCCCTGAGGTCACGTGATCCCCTTCAGGTCACGTGATCCCCTCAGGTCACATGAGCCCCCTGAGGTCACGTGACTCCCCTGAGGTCACGTGACCTCAAGGAGTCACCTATTCCTCAGTACCTTTCCATCTTCCTCTTCAAGAGCTGCGCTCTAATCGGGCGTTACAGGGAGTTCTAAACGGCTTTCATTTTTTTTATATCGGCTTTACAGCCGTTTTACGTCGGTACTTTCGCGTTAAAGGACATCACATAATGTGCGAAAGGAAATGGCACGATCGATGCTGCATAGCCTCTTTGTTGTGGGCATAGAATAAAAGTATTTGTCTTCACTTCGCACTGCATGTTAAGCACGGGAGTTCCTATTCGGTTATGTCCTTACTTTCTTAGAAAGAAATATACAGTTATTTAAATTACCGCATTACAAAAACGTCGAAATCGCAAAATTTCTTTCAGTACTTGCAACGATTTTCGCTCGCATAGTGAATAAGATTAGTTCAAAACATATCCCAAACGAAAAGCTGGTATGTTCTCTGATGTGATGTGTTACTTTCCTAGCGGTCTAACGTTCAGGAGGTGGTATTTTTATGCGCTGTGTACTCGTT